GCTGCACCGCCGCCTCTCCAGAGACCGCCAGAACCGACACACAGGCAGGGCCCTGCACACCCCGAGCCTCACACACCATGCCTGTACACCCTGAGCTTCACACACCATCCCTGCACACCCCGAGCTTCACACATCATCCCTGCACGCCCTGAGCTTCACATACCACCGAACACGCACACACACAGCCCCACACACCCTCAGCGTCACACAGCATGGCCCCCATGCACACACCTGCACAGCCCTGCACACCCTCAGTGTCACACAGCATGGCCCCCATGCATACACCTGCACAGCCCTGCACGCCCCAAGCATCACACCCCACAGTCACACGCACCACAGTCACTCACCACACCTGCAGGTCGTGTGCTAAACCTCCATGCACACAGAAATCCATACATCACAGTTCCACTCAGGCACCCCACACACACACACAAACCTCGGCACACCACAGCCATACATACCACAGCCCCACACATCAAAATTCCCTCAGGTCCCCACCAAATGCGCCACAGCATCACACACTCCAAAACCTGCTCACACCACCTCCCTCCACACTTCAAAGCCCCTTCCCCAGCCTCAGCATGACCTCCAAAGCACAGGCAGACACTCAGACCCATGTGTGGGTTCACAGAGGTGGAACTTGATGATGTTTAATGTTCCTTCCAGCTGAAACCATTCTGTGATTCTGTACTCGTTGCATGCAACCTACATACACGCAGCAAAATGTTCCCAATGGTTCAGAGGAGCCAGCCTGGCTCCACAGAGTCCATCCCCAGCCCCATGGCTCCTGAGCCACCACCCTAGGGAGGCTGCAATCCCTCAGCTCCCCTAGCCACATCCTGCCTCTCACTCACCATCAGGTGTTACTACAGGAGCCTGAGGCTGCTTTTTTGTACTCCCTGAGACAAGGCTGATCCTCCTGGTGTTGCCTTGCTCAAAATTGCAGGCATCCTCCTGCATTAGAGCTGGGATTTTCAGCCTTACCCAATGAAGGATGAGCTGGTCCTGATTTCTCTGAGCCTCAGGTTTAGGACCTTGGTTTAGATCTTTCTCAAATCCTAGGACCACAGGGCTCGTTACTGTAATTCTCCATCCATAAAAGCAGCTCTGTCTGTCTCACTCCTGGCCCAAAGCTTTTGGATACCCTTCCTGAGGCAGGGGGGGGCAAAGGGAACCCAGTGCCTTGTAGATGGATCAGATCAGAAGTCAATCTCCAAGACTGAAGCCCTCTAAAAGGTGTACCCCAAGCTGAGTGGATGAAGCTGGTCACGAGGCCCTTTGGGAAACTCGTGGATGCAGGGAGGAGAAAGAATTCATTCCATCAATTCAGCAAACAAGAGTTCACCCAGGGCAAATTCTGAATCACATCACCTGAGAGTTACCAGAATCATTGCAGCATGACATGGAGCAAGGTCTCACCTGCCAAAAGAAGTGTATACAGATCAGCAACAAAGGGAAGGAGGGGAAAGGTGGAGAAAAGAGGAAATATATGGTTTCGATCAACTCCTTAAATATAGAAGTCTGATTACCTTTGCCCATTTCTGATTCCTCAAGGGAGAGCAGGAGAAGAGGAATCTATAAATAGTTTGCAACACACAGAATCCTATAGCAAAGTTGCTGGGAAAGATCAATAGCATGATTCAAGGAGGGCTCCAAATTACATCTCAGGGGAGGGAGGTGCTGAACAGAATTGATAAATGAGTTGCAAATGCTGTGTGTGTTGTGTGTATCTAATTAACAGAGGGTGACTGGGATCAATAGCAAGGAAGGAGATGGTCTAAAAATAGGACTCAGGCAGGGACTGCAACCTGCGGGCAACAGCTTGGATGGAAATGTCCCCTGGAGTAATTAACCTTTAGCTGAAAGTGATGGTTAGCAGGAGGCCAGAGTGGGGCCTGTGGGCAGCTGGGAGGGGATGAGGGCTCTGTGGGACCCGGGGCACAGAGCAGTGTGACATTGTGGGGGCACAGAGCAGTGTGACATTGTGGGGGCACGGGCACAGCCATGAGCTCAGAGCCTTCCTTTGGTCAGGCGACAGTGACAGGATGCTGATTGGTGTGGTGCTTTCTGGAGAAATATCTGAATATTGATATTTTACTGGGGTTTTGGAACAGAAAATACATGCTGTTCTGTGTACTCACCAATATTTCAACATTGCTTAGAGAAAAGTAACAGTTATTTTTTAAACCTCTATTTACTTCCATAAGAATCTGCAGTTTTCTTCTCTTTTGCTGACCCTGTTACCAAGGGAGTACCCACCACTCTCAGGAACAATCTTTGCTCATCCAGACTCAACACCACGTGCATATTTGAGCCACAGAGAAAATAACTTGCAAAGGGGAGTGTCCTTCAGTCCTTCCATCTACAACAGAGCTGCCAGGCAAACTCCAAGGGAGAAGGATTGATGTTGGGCAGGATGGTCTGTGGCTCAGCTCACAGGCTCTGCTGAAGTGGCAGGCTTCAGCCAAGTGAGAGGCAGAGACAAACCCAGGAACAGAAAGTTCATCCTGAGTGCAGGATTTGGACCTGGGGTATACAGCATGACCAAAAGAAAAGGAAACTGTAAAGAAGAATCTAGAAAATATCTCTGGCAATAAATATTTGGAGGGGTAAGTGGTGAGGGAAGAGCTTTCCTTTAATATAGACAGAAGTGACTAAAAATTCCTGAACAATAGTTTTCTCCATGAGATTAAAAACAAACAAACAAACAAACAAATAAATAAATAAATGTCTTTTATTCTGCTGTAGATGGAGCTACTAAAGGAGCAAACTATGTTTAGTCACCAAAAGGAAAGTTAACTCAAAGGAACAACACATAACTTAGCTCCTCTTGGGTTAGTCTAATTTGTGGGAGAGAACACAGGTGGGAAGACAGCTCTGAGATGTGCACTGGGTGCCCTGGGTGCTGACAGCTCTGCTAACCCAAAGTTGCATCTACTGTCTCCCCAAAAAGCCAAATGGAATTTGAAATTTCCCACATTTTAGGTAAGAGGATGTGGGTGCTGTTGTGTCACAGCAGCTCTCCTGTTTTAGCTTGAGTTCACTCTGCAACAAAGGCAAGTGCCAGCCTCAAGGCACTTGGGTTGGGAGTTGTTCTCCTGTCTATCCTTTGGACATTCCAGAGGTTCTCCTTGAGGGAAATCTGATTTCTCTCCCTGTACAAGA